TAAATGCAATAGATTTTCTTTTATAAACAATGTTTTTTTTTTTTACCTTTCTGTTGCAGAAGACTGTGAAACCTGATTTGAGGTAAGATGTTACTTTTTTAAAAATATACAGTGATAATGCAGCCAATACTGTTAAGTTTAAGAAAACATTTAGGAAAAGTTGTGAATATTTTTACAATATTATTCTTATAGCTGCAATCATCAACTATTGATTAGTCGTGTGTGCCGTCTGTTTATGGAAGACTTCCACCAGTCTTGTCAATTTACAGCTCTGAATAACTAGGGATGGGTATAGTTAAGGTTTTAACGGTATTACTACTCTTACTATTACTTACTTTTCTCAATACTGCTTATTGATCTGGTACTTAAACAGTTTTCTTATTGATCAAAGTAATACTCCAAGGCACTCGAATTGTGTATACAAGTATTAAAAAGCCTTTATTGAATCATGGCTTTTATCTTTAAAATTGGTGACAGATACAGATACACCCACGCGTTGCGGCTATTGCCTTCGTCAGGGTGTGTGTAACAAACAAAGTCACAGGTGCATTTTAAGTGGCAGTTCATCAATCTAAATAGCAAACACCTGGTCACACTATGTAAAGTAACCAGCAGGGAGCAGAGTTCAACAAATTAAATAATATCTTACATAATAAAAGGTCAAATCACAAAAAAAAAAAAAAAAATTATATAAATCCAAATGAAATATTTCGTCGATATCTTAATTACAGTATACAAACCAAAGCATAACAAATCGATATTATATATTCAATTGAATAAAGTAGAACAAGTAACACAAATCAAAATATAAACATCAATGGATGAATACATCTAATAGTACACAATACGACTAGTTTCATGAAAATTATTTTCACAAAAATGGTGCAAAATCTAGTTCTCCATTTAAACCTGGAAATGTAGTAGCTTTCAGTGAGTAAATCCAGAAAGATTCTCTTTGTAATAACTTCTTAACCCGATCACCTACTCTTATGGACTTAGAGATATGTTCGATACCAATTATCTTCAGTGTACTTGGGCTACCATGATTTGTATCTCTCTATAATGAATGGCCATTGGATATTGAGGGTTACAAACTCTAATAGCATTTTTATGTTCTGATAATCTTATCTTTAGTTTTCTAGTAGTCATCCCTATATAAAAACATCCACATGGACACTCTAACCTATATATCACAAATGAGGTATTACAATTGATAAAAGATCTTACCCTTACAAAAAACAACTACAGTATATTGAAGTACAACTGCAGTAAAACTGCAGTTCAAAGCAGTATAACTGCAGTATAATTAAGCACAGCCACAGATTTGCAGTATAATGAAGTATAATCACAGTACAACTGCAGTACATTGTAGTTCAACAGCAGTAAAACCACACTACCTGTAAGTACAGCTGCAGTAAAATGAAGTACAACTGTAGTTTTGCAATATAATGAAGTACTGAAATCCATGTATAAACCTACCACTCATACTACATTAAGTAGCTGTGGATACAGTAGGCTACTACTGTAAAGCAAGTAAAAGCTATGGACCACTGCTATGCAACATTAACCCTTAAGTTAGGCTATATTAAATAATAATAATAAAAAAGTTGATCTAGATTAAACTTAATCTAAATAGCATGACACTTGGTGATTTGTCGACACTTGCTGAGAATTCAATTTGTCAAATAAAATCACGAAATCAGCAACAACACAAAAATGAAGATATAGCCGAAGCATAAAATATGCAAATGTGTGTGTACAATTATATGGAGTTCTTACAATTCATGGGTAAACATACACAATGACATTTTTACTAAATTTGTACTAAGGATTAAACCATAAAAATTATTTTCCCAAAGCATTCATTTTCTCCTCCTCATATTACATTGAGATACTGTGTCACAATAAATCTGATTCTGATTATTAGTTAATCTCGTTCATATGTATTTGGTGCATTTGTATTTGGTGTATGTATTTATGTATAAGGGCAAAATTACAAGCCCATATGAGTCAAATACTGATCAGTGGAGTAGAGTGTCACAAACAAACCTCTGAAAGTAGGTTTGTTCTGTATGCATTCCATAATTCTGTAGTAAGATGTGATGAGACAGTGGTAGTTCATACCTGACCAGAAATTAAGTGGCAATAATATAATTTGTGCTCATTTGTAAGTTTGTAACACACCATAGATTACAAGATGAGTAACAACAACAGCACAGTGGAGGTATTGTATGATGATGATGATGGTAAGAATAACTATATGGAGATGTGACACCAGGTTTAGCAGTGTCCGGAGGAAGCCAACACACAAGACACAGCAGACGAGGACACAAGGGTGAGTGTGCAGGTAAGCGATACAGCTGAGTGTTTGAGCGCAGGTTACTTGAATAGGAGATTGTGGAAGATCAGAGTATCACAGGAAATCGATGCGGTTCGGGTAAGAATCACAGAAGATCATTCTGGGAAAGCATCACAGGAGCACAGGGAAGTATCAAAGTATATAATTAAAGGACAGGGAAGCATCACAGGAGATTGTTAGAGCACAGGGAAGTATCAAAGTAGATCGAGGAGAAACGAGGCATGAAACGTGACCCTTTCCCGCGTAGAATAAAAGGATATGAAATATGCTCCATTTGTTGTGGGAAACTCATTTCCAGGCAAATAAACATTCTTGATGGGAAAAGGGAATCTTAATATTAATGATGTGTGCCATGTGTTTTAGTACTAATCTGAAACTGGCAATATGCCATAATGCCTCAGTAAGCTATTTTCTGGTCATTTTATAGTGACCGTCCATAAGTTTAAGATTACTTAAGAAAATTATTTTAATTAAGCGAGTGCACATATGATTTTCAATTCATGTTTATTTGTATTGCATTTTGTACGTTTTATACACATATACATTTCATTTGTCACATTCTGAGATTAAAACATGCAGTTAATACAAGACATCTAGAACATTTATATGGAGTTATTTTAATTAATAGACAGGTAAGCATACACAATGCAATTTTACTAAATTTGTCCTAATGATTCAACCATAAACATTCTTTTCTCAAAGCATTCATTTTATCCTCCTCACATATTACATTGAGATGGTGTGTCACAATAAATCTGATTCTGATTATTTGTTAATCTCGTTCATATGTGTTTGGTAAGGGCAAAATGACAAGCCCATCTTGTCTTTTTACAATTTCTATACATTTGTTTGTTACTTCAGTTGGAAGTACTGCCTTGTAGCTTGCACAGAATGTGACATTAAGTATGTGAGAATCCATGCAAACATACTCTGTTCGCTTTTTGTGAAAGGCTTGAATTTGATTTGATAACCTTACCAGTAAAACTGGTTGTTTGGGGGTGGCCTGTGTTTGAACAACAATGATGTGTTCAATTTTTGCAACCTGTTGCCCAATGGTTACCAAGGAATTACATCTGGAGTATTTTGAGTCATAGTGATCAGTGGAGTAGAGTGTCCCATCACAAACAAACCTCTGAAAGTAGGTGGCTTGATTTTGTTCTGTATGAATTCCAGAATTCTCTAGTAAGATTTGCTGAGACAGTGGTAGCTCTTTCACCTGACCATGACCAAAAAAATTGCAGCTACTGACCTGTGAAACGTTTTTGCACAAGGAATAACCCCGAAGTGCTGATGAAACGTATTCATGTGCCGGGGAGTCTTCTGCAATGTAAACTCTCGATAATATTTTTAGCTCTTTTAGTCTTGCTAGATTTTGAGTTATTTGCAATGGTACATGTTGTGTTCCATTGAAAAGTTTGAGCAGTCTACCATTATGTCCTTCAAAGACGAATGTTGACGTCAAGGACAAAGGTCCGTGTCTTCTGACACTCTCAGCTAAGTGGGTGAGGAGATGAATATTGTAAGAGACTTCTTGCTTCCCATACAGAGACTCGGTTAGAAGTACAAACTCACAAAGAGCCATGTGAGCCTTGTCGATGTTCAAATGTGAAATATGTGAACTAGTTAGCAGATAAATGGCAAAGGCTAGTAGCATCCAGTGGTGGAAATACTGTGTCGGGATTAAACCCATCAGTATAAACGGAGAGATTAGAAGAAATGTTCTCCACTCACTTCCTTTCCATTTTTGCCGTTCTTTTACAGATCGTGGCAGTCGGGTTATCTCACTTGGTGGCCGCACTGATTTCAAACGTTTGTCTATCTCTTTCAAGACACTTGGATTTTTGACGTTTACTTCTGGCACTTTGTTGTCAAACCACAAGCCTGTTATTTGGCGCACTACTCCAAGAAGGACACTATGTAGATAGTCTGGAACAAAACTTTCTGCCATGTCAAAACACTGTAATGTGGTCAAAAGACTTGGTCCTTTAACACCATTGACTGGGTTATTTACAGAGGCCAGTTCTGCATCATGTATCATGCCCTCGTGTGTTCTCAGACTAGGAATGGGTACTGAGAGTGGGTAGACCCTGGTAAACCCATCACCCTTTTCCACTCTCTCTCCAGAATGAGTACAGAAATTACAGCCATGTGCCCCATTGAACTGGTTGATATTTTGCACTGGAGCCCTTGCAACAGAGTCAACTGTGCATAGAATGGCAGCAACTTTGGAACATTCATAAGTTTTTGTTACAGTGTTGTACCACACAACACCTGCAGATTCTAAAGATCTGCACTCTTCGATGAATGGTTTTAGAAAGCTTTCCATTTTTGGCTTGCTTTGCCCAAACCAGAGTGCAGGCACCAACACAAAGTTTTTCCGTTCAGACAGAGCTACCTCGTTTATGGTACACTGAATTGGCCACATTGAATAACTTGAAGAGTTAAACACTGGGACACCATCTGTATTCCATGTCAAAGATATATTGCTCTGGTCTCTCAGCATTGGAATTCTCTTATACAGTGCACCATCACTGACATCTTGGATGCAATCAGAATTGTTTTTCTGTGATAGTTTGTCATTAAGGTTGTGATTTTCAAAAAGATTTTTAATTTCATCTCTCAAGGGGGTGTACATCAAATAATAACCTTTACTCAGATTTTCTGATACTTTGCATTCTGTATCACACATTGGACATAGTACACTCTCGACATCGAGTGTGCCAATGTAAGCTCCACAGTCAGGATTCAGACAATAATGATGTAACTGCCAGCTGGTTGTGTCAAAAGCACGATTGAACATGTAGTTGGTGGAGGGTAAACTGTTTTCAGGGAGAAGGATCTGCAGCAGATGCAGTAAATCTTGACTTCCTGCCTTGGTCACATGGTGGCGTAGCATGTAGCCCAGAAGTGCAGTCAGACTTTCACCTTTTGAAAGTTTGGCTCCAGGATACAAAGGCTGGTCTCCATCATGGATACAAGTGGTGGTTGGGATATTTCCATCCTCAAGATTGGTTGAACTGCTATGCTAGAGATGAAAAATGAGAAGGAAAAAAATGTATGTATGATCATTTAAAGTCATTTTACATTCCATTTGTCCACATTACTCATGCACAACCTTCACAAAACCAGAAAACAGTTGTGGATCATCCAGGTAAGGACACATTAAGAATCAAGTCTATGTAAACTATGGCAACTCTGCTGCCAGTGGTTTACTGTAAAATCAAATGTACTGTGAATTGAAATACAGCAATGTACTGTAAAACAGTCAAATTTACTTAACAAAACAAGTTCATATCACTTAAATATTAAGTTAATCACACTTTAGTAGAAAAATAGTTATGTGAACTCAATTTATCAGGAGAGTAAATATTAAACTGAAGTGTTATTTTATGTGTTTTTGCACAAAATGAAATCTGTGAGTGTTTAATGTTCTATTATGCTGCAGTTTAAAAGGGTATCTGTCTGTGTTTTGGTGAAGACTAGAGCCTGTATTTAAATCAAGGATGAGCCAATAAACCATGCTATATGCTGCATGTTGTTTTATTTAAAAGCAGTAAATGTGTAGTTGCTGATGCAGCGATAAGGTCTTTTCTAATTACACTAGCACATGCTCTGTTGCTAGTGAAAGGTGCACTATTTCTGCTTCTGAAATCTAATACTTCGCTACTATATAACATGCGAAAAAGAGTATGCCAGCCGTCTGAAAGAATATTTAAAAAAAACAGTAGGCGATAAGTCCCAGGATGACCTACTACTTCCGGCGAGATTCTGAAGTGCGCATTCGATAGACACTTATATCCCATGAAGCATTGGGAGAGTATTTGTGAATGGAGGTGAAGGGGTGTGTAACTGATGCTGGTTGGTCACATGATAATGACAACATGACAGAGTAGTATGTCCGGATTACATGCATCATACACACTTTCATATTATATAAAACATATTGTTTTTAACTTTGCAAATTAAATTCAAATTCAAATATAGTACCTACTCGGAGAGTATGTGATTTCAGACACACTGTATGTAACTTTTGGCGCTCTAGCAGTTAATAAACAGAACTGCATGTGTCTTGTGGAAGAACATTGTGGCCGGAGCTTCATCTCTCTGTTTAAGTCTATGAACAGTCAAGGAGGTACTGGGATACTCCGCAGCAGCTGGCGTCCCACTTGGTCTAAAATATACACACTATAGTTCAAATATAAACACTTATTATACACTCACCGGCCACATTATTAGGTACCCCATGCTAGTAACGGGTTGGACCCCCTTTTGCCTTCAGAACTGCCTCAATTCTTCGTGGCATAGATTCAACAAGGTGCTGGAAGCATTCCTCAGGGAGTTTGGTCCATATTGACATGATGGCATCACACAGTTGCCGCAGATTTGTCGGCTGCACATCCATGGTGCGAATCTCCCGTTCCACCACATCCCAAAGATGCTCTATTGGGTTGAGATCTGGTGACTGTGGAGGCCATTTTAGTACAGTGAACTCATTGTCATGTTCAAGAAACCAATTTGAAATGATTAGAGCTTTGTGACATGGTGGAAGTAGCCATCAGAGGATGGGTACATGGTGGCCATAAAGGGATGGACATGGTCAGAAACAATGCTCAGGTAGGCCGTGGCATTTAAACGATGCCCAATTGGCACTAAGGGGCCTAAAGTGTGCCAGGAAAACATCCCCCACACCATTACACCACCACCACCAGCCTGCACAGTGGTAACAAGGCATGATGGTTCCATGTTCTCATTCTGTTTACGCCAAATTCTGACTCTAACATCTGAATGTCTCAACAGAAATCGAGACTCATCAGACCAGGCAACATTTTTCCAGTCTTCAACTGTTCAATTTTGGTGAGCTCTTGCAAATTGTAGCCTCTTTTTCCTATTTGTAGTGGAGATGAGTGGTACCCGGTGGAGTCTTCTGCTGTTGTAGCCCATCCGCCTCAAGGTTGTGCGTGTTGTGGCTTCACAAATGCTTTGCTGCATACCTCGGTTGTAACGAGTGGTTATTTCAGTCACTGTTGCCCTTCTATCAGCTCGAACCAGTCTGGCCATTCTCCTCTGACCTCTGGCATCAACAAGGCATTTCCGCCCACAGAACTGCCGCTCACTGGATGTTTTTTTCTTTTTCGGACCATTCTCTGTAAACCCTAGAGATGGTTGTGCGTGAAAATCCCAGTAGATTAGCAGTTTCTGAAATACTCAGACCAGCCCTTCTGGCACCAACAATCATGCCACGTTCAAAGTCACTCAAATCAACTTTCTTCCCCATACTGATGCTCGGTTTGAACTGCAGGAGATTGTCTTGACCATGTCTACATGCCTAAATGCACTGAGTTGCCGCCATGTGATTGGCTGCTTAGAAATTAAGTGTTAACGAGCAGTTGGACAGGTGTACCTAATAAAGTGGCCGGTGAGTGTAGGTGTACCATAGAGATTCAGGAGAAGACAAAAATACGGTTTGGAAGATGGATTCATGACGGATTCGCTCATCATATACATTTTGTATGTTTTGAACAAAAAAAAGTTACATAGTTACGTCATACCTTTCACGAGTTCACACTTACATCAATTAAACAGAGTAAAGATTATGCGTATTTGGCGTGCTGTCCGGGGGGAGGGCTCCGAGCTCGGAATTTTGCCCGAACCCAGAGTACTCCCCCCGTTGTTGTAAGAGTATTAGGACTATAAGTGAGGAGATGGGGTGGTGGAGGGATGCTGTTAAACTGTCAATGAACGGAGGTAAGTTTGCTGTATATATACACACAGCGCTTAACTCGTTGATTAAGCACCACTCGTGTCTAATTAGGTTTGATTATCTAAATGTGCTCCACATGTGTTTAATTAGGTTTAATTATCTGAACGTGCTCCTCCCGAACTTTGTTAATAAAACATCATTTAATGATCACCTCCATGAGATTTGGGTTAACTTTATTACACATTTAATTGATTGCAGTGTAATTTAATATTAAGTAAAATTCTTTTTTAAGTGGACTAATTCTTAAATTTTTTAATTCTTAAATTAAATTAATTTACAGTTATAATATCATATAAATATTAGTTGTTAAATTTGAATGGTTGGCGCAATCGGTTTCCCCAAATGAAATGTTATCTTCCATGGTATTATTACGGTAACATCCCATAAAGTATATCCAGGGGAAGGTTGATTTAACTTAACATTTTAATTTGGGTGAACAACCAGTACAACTTTCAAAAATTGTTTGGCACAACAACTACTGAAGTTGTAACTCAAATGCTTTGCAGCGGGTTTAAAAAAAAAAAGTTTACTCAACTTTTTATTCATCTGTATTACTGTAAATACATATTGATAAAGGATAACTTCTTCATAAAAAGTAAAGCTTAAAAAAAGAATTGTTTAATTTAGACACTGGCCAAAGATGTGTAAAAAATTTACCCTCGGGTACTAATAAAGACACCTTGACCTTGATCAGTATATGTACATTATAGCACATTTGCATAAGTAAACATGTCATTTATTAGACTATACAATAGTTACCTCTTCATTGCTCAACCATTGTGTGTTTTGCTCTTCATCTTCTATATCACCACCTGATATGTCATCTGGCTGAAGAAAAACATAAATGACCCTCAGGCTTACAAAAAATATAATATTTTTTACAATAGTAAACTGTAAATGGATTGGTAACACTTTACAATAAGGTCTCATTTGATAACATTAGATAATGTAGGCTATTAACTAACATGAACTTACCATGAGCAATACATTTGTAACAGTATTTATTAATTTATGTTAATATTAGTTAATACAAATACAGCTGTTCATTGTTTGTTCACAGTGTATTAGCTAATGGTAATAAATAAAACATTTGATTTTAATAATGTATTAGTAAATGTTGAAATTAACTTTAAAATTAATAAATACTGTAGAAATATATTGCTCATTCTGTTAACTAATGAAACCTTATTGTAAAGTGCTACCAATGGATTGACTGTATTTAGCCTAAAATCAAAATGAAATAAATTATTATTATAATAATATTATTACAATAAAGAAATATGTAGATCTGTAAAGTAAAATCAAGAGAAAAAGAAATATTTTTCAATACCTCAGTGAGTTGCCTAGCTGCCTCTTCTCTGCAGAGCAGTTGTGTGTCTTCTTCTTCAGAGTCAGCACCAACTTGGTCCTCTGTGTGTGTCTAAAGAAAAACAAATTACCTTTAAGCCAGTTTTATAATGTCTCCGACTCCGTGTATTGCAAAATGTGTATTATTATTATTATTAAAATTAATAATAATTAAAAAGAACTGAATTGGAGGTTATATTGGCTGATATTTATTTATGTAATTGAATTTTATTTATTTTACCTGAGATGACAGGATTGCAACATCACTTTCGCTGGTATTTCTCCTTACACTTGTGTTCCTGGGGGGTTCTTCTTCATCCTCTTCCAGAAATATTTTGTACTTGTTTCTTCTGGGATGTTTTTTGTTTGGAATAGAGTCATATTCTAAAAAAGATTTGTATTTTTTTCGCCTTTTGGACATTTCACCCGCATAGATAATTAGCAGGTGCGTGACCAGTTCTTCTTCCTTCGCGCCAACGCAATCGTTGCCCTGACAACGAGTCTCGAGAGCAGCTGATACTTGATGAGCGAACTGTCAGTCAGCGTCTTCGTTAGTTTAGGATGGATATAAAATACGTTTTGGTAGATTTTTTCACAGACAACACCGTTCATATATGTGAACTTTCAAAAATAAAACACAAAGATATGACAAAACTACACCCCAATGCCATTCACAAGTGGGACAAAAGAGAGGAAGCATATGTTTTCTGGAAGAAAACTTCGTCAGGCGAGCTGCAGCGTTGGCCTTGTCGAGTCATCCAGTTCAGCGGTGAGTAGGCTATCTATAACGTCTAATGTCCTCATATCTTTGGGTTATTTAATTTAGAGAGATGTACAAATACTTTTATTGATATCTTATTCAAACACAGTTGAGAAAATAGGGGAAAATGCTGCTTCTGTACTGATTTGTAGCGCGCGCGCAGGTGCGCGAGGTGCTGATTCTGATGCTGCACGAGCACAGAGCTCAGCGAGGGCTGATCAACAACACAGAACTCAATTCTGATAGAAAGACAAAACAATGGGTTTTTTTCAGAGGTGATACAATCGCTGTAATCTATATGTTTTAGTAATACAGTTACCAGAAGTAAACTAACCATTCTTTGCGTTGTAAAGATTGTAGCCTACTAATTTCAAATATGGTGAGAAATAGAGTGAGACTGATTAATCATAGGCTATCAACAAGCTCAACAATTAAAATACAAGTGAAAACTTATGAAAAAAAAAAAACATTTATAATAATGGAATAAACAAAACTACTTAATGTACGTAATGTGTATTTGTTTGTTTGTTTCTAGGAGAGCGTCAGCCCCTAATTGACTTGAGGAAAAAAATTGAAAAGGGCTGTGCCTTTGACAGTATACCCCTCTTTGCATCAGAGGAAGCGTTGGGAAAGGGGAGAAGAGAGAAAGTGAAAAGGCCCTCAACAGATGATGGCAAGACCTGTCTGGACCTGGTAAATGCATTAAAGCTCACTCACATTCTACCACAAATGTCAACCTGATTTTAGATAGTATTTAAATGAGATCCAGTTACATGTAGGCCTACAGTCCCGTATATATTTGTCATGTACTAAATTGTTTCAGATCTTTAAACAAAATAGTGTAATAAAGGCAACCAGAGTAAACTCAAAATACAGTTTATTATTTGGTAATTGTACTTGCCTTTGTCTTATGTTCAATTTCTTTGGTATAACTGACTATTTAGTATCTGGAACATTTAGTTTTAGAACACAAAAATAGAAGAAATCAATATTTTTTTTCATAGCACTGTACACAAGCATTTATGTTAAATAGTTTAATTGACATTAATGTGCAGAAAAGGACATTTCTCTGGAATACTTTTTTATTGTGTGATTGCTATTTTCAGGAAAATGTACCGGTAACAAAAAAAAAACAGAAGACCAAAAATATCATTCAACAGAAGATAATGGCTGCGGTGAAACAAAGCTGCACTCAAATAATGGTGAGCAGGAAGCCTCTTTATTTATTTGATCTTTTATAAACTATATCTTTACAGCTAGAATACATAATAACTGATATTGTACTTAAGGAACCAAGACCTGCTGTGGGAGTGCTGGAGGAATCAAGTGTACCAAGTCCTTCGTCTCCGCAGTCATGTAAGAGTTCAGACATGGCTGAAAAGATCGAGGAGTTAAAAAATGAAATTAAAGAGCTAAAAGAAGATTTAAAATATGAGCGGCGCTTCAGGATAAAAGCAGAGAGAGAGCTGAGGGAGTCGAAAGGTAATGAAATCTAGCTATACCACAGCAATTGTTCTCAATTATCAGTTCTCAACTTGTGAACTCTCTTCTTCTTCTGTATATATTATACCATGTTCTGTTTGAATACTCAATTCTGATTGGCTGGAAGGTGTGCATTAAAACAATGAATGCGCAGGTAGTTACAAGTCAGTTTAATCACTGTTCACTGTTCAATAACATAATGTGCTGCTTTTATTGTAGGACACACACACACACACACAGGCAGTCACTCACACACAGAGATCTTGCAGCACTCTCACATACAGAAACATTACATTTCTAAGCAACAAGGTCTTAATATCACTATTTTTGAAGTAATTAAATTGACAGCATCATTAGAAAAATGCTGTGCCTGATTTAAAGTGCGCAGAAAGCTAGATCTAACGAGCCATAGCCCAAAAAACTAATGAAAAGCAACTGTTAGTTTTACTCTTCTTGTCAAATTGTGCACCACAAACATTAAGGACAGCTTTAACTTAGCTTTTTAACCTAGCTTTAACAGCTCGGTGTGCATTACACAATTTTGATACACTTCACGCGAAGGCAACCTGCTTTACGTTGGGTGATTCTTTGCCTCCACCTCGTGTATTAAAATCATGTAATGCACACCTAGCAGTGGATTAGCCAGCCCGTTCTCATCCTTTGGCGTCATATAGGTGACGCTATATGACATTTCGTCAAAATACTACGCACATGGCACCCTTTAGCGTCAATATGAGACGCAGACCCTACCCCAGACCTAAACCTACCCATAACAGTGCGTGTTATATTGACGCTAAAGGGTGCCATGTGCGTAGTATTTCGACGAAATGTCATATGGCGTCACCCTATGACGCCAAAGGATGAGAATGCGTTGGATTAGCCCTATACGTGAAGGGTTACACAAAGTAGGCAATGAAGGGGTGACAATAACTGTGGTATACATATATATGTATACCACAGTTATTGTCACCCCTTCATTGCCTACTTTGTGTAACCATATACTGTATTCCAATAATATATTTATCAATTCATATTCATACTTTTACCAATTATTTTATTTTGATTTAAGGTTAGAATTTTGAATGAAAGACCAAGGGAATAAATGGTGGCAATAGATGTGGAGGGCACTGTACAGTATTTAAACATGATTGTGTCGCTCTGCTTTTTTCCAGAAATGCATGCTGTTGTGCAGGAGCTAAAAGGCACAGTGGCAGAATTAAAGATGATGTCAAACACTCCGCCGACCTCATCTTCTCAGAACATCGGTTCTCAAATTCAAGAACCATGCTCTGCTCAAGGAAGTGGGCAGGTAAGTGGATCCCAATTATGCAGTTGTATTGTATTTTTTTCAATTCTGGCTAGAAGGTGTGTTAAAATCTTAGCCTGGTTCTACCAGACTCTCGTACATTTCATTTGTACAGAGAGTCTGGCACCGCTCCATTGACAATCGTTAACTTCCTTGAAGGCGGTACTCTATTGAAGTCTAAAACTATTGGATCTGCCCAGAGTCACTCTGGATCTGCCACCAATCGCTAACGTTTGCTCGTGATGTATGTCGAACCCCGTGGGGAGGAGGGCCACAACATCATGGCCAAAACAAAACTAAGCAAAGATTGTTCTTGCTCCGGCTTTAAAGGATAATTCCGGTATTTAACACTTTGAGTCTATTTTTTAGTTTGTTTTGGATGAACTAGAGTGGTGGACTTAGAAATTTTGACGATGGGTCCTGTCTCGACTTTTTTAATATTTTAGAATCGCTTCTGAGCGCTTCAGAGTGGATGTCTATGGGCATGCTCAAACATGTCCTTAAAACAACCCTTAACGTTCGTTTTCAAAACTGTGCAACTCACCGAGTGGTTAGTGGTGTTCGTTGATGATTAAAAACAAATATATCGGCGCAATGTATGCTTTCAATCCGTGTTATTTGCTATATTGGAACTATTTTTTCAGATACCTCACAACCGCGTATAAACTTCCGCTCGATATTTGAGTCTGAAGCGTTAGCACACCCCCGACCACTTGATGGCGACAACCACTTTGCCGCAGTTGCTCAGCTCACGCTAGCCTTCTGAGAGACGGAGAACCGAGCGAAAAGACTACAACCAAATCTAAACAGACCCCTTTCCGTTTCCGGTAGCGCAGTAATATCAACGAGCACTGAGTCCTCCAGCAGACATCAATGCGATTTAAAAAAATGGCAAATAAAACACGACAGAAACTGTATTTCGCTACGCTACTTGTTTTGGAACATCAACGAACACCACTAACCACTCGGTGAGTTGCACAGTTTTGAAAACGAACGTTAAGGGTTGTTTTAAGGACATGTTTGAACATGCCCATAGACATCCACTCTGAAGCGCTCAGAGGCGATTCTAAAATATTAAAAAAAGTCGAGACAGGACCCATCGTCAAAATTTCTAAGTCCACCACTCTAGTTCATCCAAAACAAACTAGAAAATAGACTCAAAGTGTTTAATACCGGAATTATCCTTTAACTTCTTAATATTCGGCAGCGTTGCTACAACGGACCGAATGGCTTCGCTCGCATCTTTCTCCGCTGCCATTACTGAACTACAACTCAAAATAACGCACGACGTCATCGTTCTCAGCCACTCCCTCTGTTCGCTGATTGGCCCTACAAAAAATTGATCGGAGAAAACCAAAGTCTACAGCAGAATCCCAGACGTAGTACTGAAGGAAAATGAAATTGAGCTGAAGTGCGTAGGAGGGCGGAGCCAGGCTATTAAAATCTACCTCTTCTACATAAAACAACTTGTGGTTGCTGCTGTTGTTTTTAACTCTATGTACAGGGCAAACCATAAGTATTTGGAATTGTTTTGCTCCATCATTT